GTGTACTGGAGCTCCTGCTCAAAGCAAAAGTGTTGTTTTTTTTTTCCTCCTTTCTCTTTTTCAGCTGTTGCTCGTCTGCACTCTGAATGGCAAGATCTCCGTTTGCAGGTCTTAGGAGGGTTTCCTGCAACAGTTCCGTGCAATGGCACAACTGAAGTCAGAATAAAATATTTAAAAGATAGATGTTTGCCTGATTTTCTCCACATGTACTCTGTTTTCTTTAGCATAGAACAATCCTAGACTAAATTCTGCAGAAATCTGTCGAAGGTTTAAGTAACTTGGATGTAATATAAGATGCTGGCATAAAGTCAAACCTGTCACACTGGCACAGACAGCAAATGAGAGAGCAGTTCTCAGTAGTAGTTCTTAGTTTAAAATACTCCTCTGTTGCCTTCTTCCCCTGTTCCTTGCTGCTGGGGGAGAGACTTGGTCTAAGGCATATGAAGTACTGGAAAAATAGGATCCAAAATTATGGGATGGCAGAAGCTGCTTTCGTACGCAGACGTTTTGCAGATGTGCAGAGTGAAATGCACGTGGCTGAGCTTTGCCTCGGACACAAGATTCAGAAGAAACACAAGGGGTGGAGAGATTGCTTCTGTTTGTTTGCTTGATAGGAATCCTTTTCGAATGTGTGTTTGCTTTTGTCCTTTCTGAAAGCAGCAAATGACAAAATTCCCATTGGGAAAGTGGTTTGAGAGTCTTCAGCTGATGCCTTGGCTGAATACTTTCTGAAAGCATGCTTGAAAGGACTGGTTTCCTACCATCCTGCCTGTCTCCTTAGGGAGCAGACTCTGCGTCACTATGCAGCAACTTTTTAACTCCATATAGCAGTAACAGAGCTCAATGCAAAAGGAATAGATTCTTCCACCAATTGTTCTTCAAATACAGAGAAGTAAAACACAAATAGTGACCAAGGAGCCTCAGTTCACTGTCAGGTTGTACATACTGATCCCTAAGGGGTGGTGGCAGCTGCAACAGGCAGCTTTGCAGTTCTTGCTGCTTCTCCCTCATCTAGATGGAGATCCTGCAGCACAGGAATAACCCATTTGATAAATGATCATTCTTAGGGATGAGGGGAAAAAAGCAATGGGGGATAGTCTTGGAATACAGGAATTCCAGCTGTAGAGGAATCAGGACAGTGCTGCTGCTTCTACTCAGGGCCAGGCTGATGCACTGCATGTTAAGGAAGGACTAGAATCCAGTAGATACCTTCCTGTTTTTCTGTGAACATAGCAATTAAGCCTCTTCTTGCAATGATTTGCTTGCTTTATTGATTTCATCCCATGAATTTTTCAAAGATACATCTTACTTCATATGTAAACACATATAATCTCTGTCTTCTCAGCAGTGTAGTAGCCTAAACCTGCATCACTCTGCATTTATACTCCCTGTGGGCTGACACTGCTTTTAACATTGAAGTGGCTACCAACATTGCCAGGTTTCAAATCAGTAAAACTGTCTTAAAGACAGCAAAATATAATTTTAAGTGAGCAGGTAGCAGTAGAATTTGCAAAGCAGTCCTGAGTTGTGCTTTCACCTGTACTCTTCACCTCTAAGGCAAGCTGATGTTCTTGGGCAGCTGCCTTTCCTCATGGTACACTTGCTCAGTGCCAGCTTTGGGTTGAAAACAAGATAACAAGAATGAACAACAGAGGACGGGGTCATTGTGATGGAAGTTGGCTAGTTATTCATGGAAGAAAAGCTGTTCCCACAGCTGGCCTAATTGGTGCATCCAGAGCAATGAGAATTGAAACTCATCCTGAAGCCTCACAGTGTATTGAGGAGCTGTTTGTTTGCATCCTTGGCTATGAACAAATTCAGCATCTCTTCTTCTTACTTACCAGCAGTTAGGTATTTCCTGGGTTAAATCTGAGCAGGTTCTCTAGGCATTGTGGGATTTTGGTGATGGTAGGGACTGTCAGTGAAGGAGGAGACATGTTGCTGACTGTGATATCCAGATGACTAGTTTAGAAATCCATGGCATAATTTCCTTGGTATATTGCAGGTAGATACTTAGTCATAGACTACAATATCAGAGACTTTTGTCTCTATAGTCTACACCATTCTCACCTACTTTTCTGTCTTACAGAAGTGACTCTGTGAGCATGCAATTGTAATTCCTTGCATGCACAGACCTCTCACAAAAGGAACAGTTCTTCGATCAGTTGTAATCTTTTGAAGATTAAATATAAGCAGAAATGAGAAATAAAAAGTTTATGAATCTTCTTTCCATAGCTAGAGTGTTCTTCTCAACTGTTCTTTTTTTAAAAACAAAACAAAACAAAAAACAACCAAAAATGAGATGCAGAGGGTGGTGGAGGGAATAGAAGATAATAGGATGACTGTAACTCACTCATTCTTTATACCTGCATGGATAATGTCATCATTCTCCTCTCCCTATTTTCTTGTGATTCTCCCTGACTGAAAAATGTCAACTGTGTGAAGTGGTGCTGGGAGAGACACCAAGTATCCACATTTTACTGTTCTACCTACTTAGTCCCAGTATGAACAATGAGTACCAGGCTCCTTGGAACTTCATAGAGTAAAAAGAGAGATTTTATAGAGAGAATGATTCTAATAACAGAATTGCCTTTCTTGGTCCTCAAGGTCCCAAACTTCACTCTCAAGAAACTTGTGGTAGAAGGCAGGTGCTGTGACTGATCCTACCAAGAGAATTTACTCAGTTGATGATAAACACCTACTGCTTTTGTGTCAGTCTACCTCACAGCACAGATCATAGAATCATAGAATTGTTTTGGTTGGAAGTGACCTTTGAAATCACCAAGTCAAACCATTAACTGCCAAGGCACTGCTAAACCATGTCCTTCAGCACCACATCTACACAGCTTTTGAATCCCTCCAAGGATGGTGACTCCACCCCTTCCCTGGGCATCCTGTTCCAGGGCTGGCAGCCCTTTGAAGGAAGAAGCTTTCACCCTTTCAGTGAAGAAATTTTTCCTAACATCCAACCTAAACATCCCCTGGCACAACTCGAGGCCATTTCATCTTGTCCAATCACTTGTTACTTGGGAGAAAAGACTGACCCCCACCTCACTACAACCTCCTTCCAGGTAGTTTTAGAGAATTATAAGACCTACCCTGACCCTCTTTTTCTTCAGACTAAACAACCCCAGCATACAGTAATGATAAATTTATCTGAATAAAGAAGTAATATGAAGTGCACTTGAACTATACAGAATGTGCTGGGGTCATACTGAAAATGCCAGGGCTGCAGCCCCTTTCAGGTAGCAGTAATATTGTCTTTTACAACCAGGACTCGTGGCTGAAGGGCAGGAAGGAACACTAACTGATCACAGCTTCCTACACATTTACCTCTGAGGCATATACAGCAGAGCAGATGCTGCAGTCACGGTGCCTCTGTGAGCTGGCTGATCTCCATTTCATGACAAGAGAAAGAGTACAGTGGCCAGAATTTTGTAGAGTTTAAATTTTTTTCCCTGATAATGATTCTACCCATGCAGGAGCTTTGCCACGATGTATCACTGCTTGGTAGTGAATGGAGATATAATTGAGATATGAAGCAAATTGTGCCATTTGCTAACTAAGCAACAAATACACTTTTTTAATGGGCAGAACTATGTAATATTTCACTCTAGACACCTGAACCTAGGTGAAACTCTTTCAGTTTTGTGCTTTGGCACAAACTCAGATTCTAGGCCATACTTGTCAAGGGTGCCAGTTGTAGGGAATTCTGAAGACAATTTCATTCAAGGGAAGAGTAGCAGAAGGCTCCAAGCCCATGTGTCCCAAAGGGTTAAGTATCACTCCATGGTACAGCTCAAGGCCAGCTTTCCAAATGATTTAGGGCCAGTGGCAAAGCACTGGTGGAAAACAGTATTTAGCACAAACTCAGAGTCATTATATGCTGTCAGTGGTCTTGGAGAATTAATTATATTTTCTTAATAAGAAATGGCCCAGAGGTACAGCCTCCTACAGCTTTGCTTCAACCCTTCAGTTTGGCAATCTTCAACCCAGGGATGTGGTTTGAGTTCCAAGTCTCAGCACAGTTACAGCAATTTATCAATCCATGAATTTGCACAGAGTGACTGGAAAAGGCATCTGAATTCTGCACTTAGTTTTGTAATAGCAAATGTCAGACCTCAAACTGGAAGCTTTTTAAATAGTTCCATGGATGCAGTGAACTGCCAGAAAGACAAAAGATAATTCAATATTTGTGGAAAAATTAAAAAAATCTATTTGAAAAGCTGCTGAATGATAATAAGAACATCCTTCTGTCTCTGCATTAATTAAATCACTCCCCTCTTTCCATAAGAGGGTCTTTATCACTAGCTCATCTTTCTCTACTGACTGAAACAGAAGTTAACATTCTTTACAATCAAATTCCTTCACAGTTACTCTCCACACTGCTATCATCTCCCTTGCAGAACTGCAAAGTCAATTCCTTTTCCTGGACTCACTCATAGTGCCAACATCCCTTTTCTGCTAGCTGCATTTCCCAGCACTAACCCTCAGCCCGGGGTGACTTTTCCACTAACACCAGCAAAGTAATCTCCCTGCCCACCTTCAAATCCTCTTCACAATTTCCCTTCTCTCTGCAGCCTACAAAACAACTTGTCCATGGTTAAACAACTGGTATGAGATCTGTTTGTAAAGCAAACTAATACTGGACCGTTGTCTCCCTCTTCTGTTGTGACTCTCATCTGTTAGCTCATATGTTTATTTGAAGGCAAGTACACATATGTTTATGTTTATCCTTCAGGCAAGGACCATCCTAAGCCCCATAAGACAGGGAGGGAAGGTCTCGTAGACTGGCACACTCTCCAAGTGATAACTACAATGCAAATGCAAATGATGATGATAATAATAATAATAATAAAAGTAATACTAATAATAGTAATAGTGTCTTGCCTATACACAGGCTTTTAAGTTGTAGGTGAACAGTAATGCCCCTCTTAGTTTGGAAGAGTTCAAATGCTTGAAGAGTTTAACTACTTATTTCAAGTTTATAACTCACTCACCTCCTGTGAATTCAGAAGCATGTCCAGGTGATCCCAATCCTTGTAGAACATTTGTTCTTGGTGTATTTTCTCCAGCCACTCCTTCTTCTGTTTCCATTCATTGTATACGTTTTCCTTCTCTTCCAACAGAGCCTGTAGTTTCTGCTGAATCTAAACACAATTTCCAATTAAAAACTCATATTGGTCTTTATACCTCCTAGACCAGGGTAAGGTGAGAGGAGAAAGGATTAAGTGGAGTGGTGGATGAGCCCCATAATCTGCAACAAAATTATCAAGCAGAAAAAAGCAGAATAAGTTCTAGTGCTTATATTCAGGCAGAGAGATAATCAGCAGTCCCCATTTCAGGCATGGAGGAGTGCTTCTTACAGCATAAACAGCAGTCCAAGTCAAGAGCAAGGAAAGGTGACTGCTTCTCTCAAGTGTACCTTCTAGAATGAAATGCAAATTCTCCATTATCTTTACTCATAACAATGCAATTATAGCATTTCAAATTGGGATAGGAGAGATGCATGAGTAAGTTATCAACAGAGCACATTCACCTAATCAGTGAATACATGCCTCAGTGTTAGAGTTCATATAATTCCAGCTTCCAGACTCTGTATATCCATAGGTTTTCTATAATTTTACCCCCTATATTTTTCTACAAGCAGAGGACTTTACAGTCAGGAAGATTTCTGGTTACTATAGTAACACATTGCAATATTCACCAAATTTTCAGGCAATCGCTTGGTCAAATGAGAGAGTAATTTGCACAAACTCTGCAGTTTTCTGAAGATATTCTAGAGTCATGTTAATGAATTATCAGGGGAGAAGTAAACTAGTAGGTACTAGAAAAGAAATAATGCTGTGAGAGTCTTAAAAGCTATTTGTCTTGAGTAAAGTGACATTTTGATTTCCATCTTTCATTTCCAGGGAGTTAAATATACCAGCACAATTCATTTCTACAGAAAATGTTTCAATTTATCTTTAAACTCTCTCATATGTTTGAGTATTTTCATTCTGTGGTTGACAGGTTTTGTCCAGCCTAGTGTGGTAAGGATATAGCACTGTAATGTGAAATATAGTATTTGTGAAACCCTTGTTTGGGAAGCAGGTAGAATTATCTTCATTGCTCAGAACACAGCAAACTTCTCAAATAAGGCCAGTTTTGCTGCAGTGGGCCCTTGGTAGATGCCAGCACGTATCTACTGCTGAGCTAGGAAATGGAAGAGATGATTTTGTGCTAGGTAAAACTAGGTAAAAGCTACCCAAAAAGATACCCAAGCTGGGTAAAATGCTGTTCATCCATATGGATAATGTGTGAGTGCACACACACACTTTTTATTCCTACAGTGCAATACAGTCTAGAATGATAGTTCCACTGCTGTTGAGTAGCTGAATGTGTGTGACTGAACTGAACTGAGTTTCAATTACCTCTTTTGATCCCATTTCCTCATCTTGCAAAAGTGACTGTCCAAGCTGTACAACATGACTATACTTCTCTTCTCTTGCTTCAATCTCTGCCAGTAGCTGCTGATGCTGGGTGAGTCTCAGGCTGCTAGTAGACAGGTCCCGGATAGTCTCCTTGGCTTTCATTTCTCTTATTATTTCTGCTGTCCATGAGAAATAGTCCCACACCTGGAACCCAAAAAAATGTTGAAAGTTGAGGTCAAAGCTCAAGCTTTTGTTATCAGGCAGAAAAATCATAGTCTGGCTGTTCAACTTTAAATGAATAATAGGCAATAAAATCACAGATAAGTAAGAAAATATTTCATTAGGGCTTAGGGTACTGCTATGAATTTTAACAAGGGTGGATCACAGGACTGCAAGAATTCCTACATACTTTATTAAATCATACATATTGTACAATATCATAATCTGTGTCATATCACATCAATGGCAACATGATATCACTTACTGCCCTTTAGTCCTTCATTCCTTAAGTGTTTCCTGGTGTTATTCCTTCACAGAGGATAGAACATCATCACCCTACTTTTCTGAAATTCTGAATTGCAGCTGAGGCAATTATGAGCAAGAAAATTCTAAAAGAAATCCCTGAGAATTATTTTCTGTCTGTCATTGAAGAAACTTGTGCAAGTAAAAATAATGTGACATTCTCTCTGTTTCTGCATTTGATTCTGCCCCTTCACCAGTCCACTTTAAGCATATTAGGTATTCTGTTCTTCTGTGTGAGTTGGTAAAAAACAGGACTGCAAGAAACTGTACTGAGGTTTACATGGGATGAATTGTGTTACAGTTTAAATGTGTTTGAGTTAGTTGATTCAGTTCTGAAGAGGTAAATGGTCTTTTTGTTTTTTTAAGTGTATTTTATAAGACTTATCTACAGTAAGTACTGAAGAAAAATGCTCTATTACTCTAGAGAACTAAAAATTTTATCTTGTGAATTGTTGCTGGCTTTTCCACTGATGGACACTATGTAATGGAAATAGTTTCTTGCCTATTCCATTTTACCCGTGGATTATTATCCCTATCATCAAAACATTTTACAGCTCAAAGTTCAGCTTGTGAAACAGCCAGCCAGGAAAAAATATTGTCAGAAATGCATCACAAAATTGAAATTAGCCAATTTTGGGATCCTAAGAGTTTAGACTTCAAAGGCAAGACACTCTTTTCTTAAAGCCAGTGAACACAGCTACTAAAGGACTGTTTAAAAGGACTGCTGTGCTTTTAGAGGGGCAAGTGTAGTGCACATGCATTGGTGTCATTTTGATTTGTAGAACTAATTCACACACAGCTGGATGTCACTGTAGACACTGATACTGCACTTGGCACTGCAAATAGCTTAAAATCACAGGGAATCTTAGAAAAGCATTAGGAAAAAATCCATAGATCTCAAGATATCTGATGCCATGCAACAAGTCAAGAGTGAATAAGAGGTTATTGGACTGCCACTGCCAGCAATATTTAAGGAAATATTAAGTCAGTCAGTCTTCAGGAAACTCCTAAGCAGAGCTGATTGAGACCATACAGCTCCTAGCACAGCCTTCAAAAAAAAAAACCCTCAGATTATTCAGAAACACTTTTGAGTCTATGTCTAAATTCCTGGTTTTGTTTAATTTAGTCTGTGTACAACTTCATAATGAAAGAGACCCATGGACTGCATATGAACAATACAAATGAAAAAAGTACACTCAACAGCTGGTAACTTTGGGGACCTTTTGGTACAGCTGAAAAAGGAAAGAGAGCAAAGCTGCCTCTCTGTGCTCAGCAATCTGGGAGATGTTCTGCAGATCCTGAGATTCTTTCAATCATTACACATGGCTGTATGTCCCATCTGGGCAGAAACAAAAGCTAACCAGATCTGCAGAATCAGCTCTTAGCTACTTCAGGAATTATTGTCAGGAAAAGAGGTGAAAATTAAGAGGATCAGGAATGCTTCTTGCCAGCAGACTGACATCAAAGAGACAGGGAGATGCCTTAGGCATAATCCCATCTAGACACATCACTGAGATTGTAATTTTGTTTTATGATCTTAAAAGAGTGCCTTAATGACTGTGCAGCCCTCCATTAAGCATCAACAGATTAATATATTGTGAAAGAGTTCATGGCTTGTGAATTTACTAATGCAGATGAAAGGACAGGCTGTGAGAGTAAGAAATGAGGTATAGATTTGCTATTCAGATCACAGGATACATTATGGATTTCACAGAAAATTCAAAGCAAAAGTAGTCTGTATGGTTCCAGAAATAAAAAGAAAAAAGCACCCTCACCAACAGGGCATTTTATATCCAAAGTCAATAACTAAATTTATTACATAAGTTATGAAACAGATCAATAACAAAGTTAAATATGAGTGACTATGTTCTAATGGATAAATCTATCAAGATCCATCTCCTGACGAAGATGCCCCAAGGCTAAAGAAATCAAGAATCTAATATATATTAAAAGAATACTAAACCTTCTAACTAGTACAAGAAGTTTGCTTTGTTCTTACTGTCATTTTTAGATCCTGTCAGACAGACAGCGAGCAAATGAACCTTTCACCTACATCAGTACAGATACTCTAATTTTCCTTAAGTCACATTCTAATTTTTTCATTTTCCCATCAACAGTTCTGCACAAGATAATGGATTCTTAACAGTTACAAAACAAATGAATCAAATCCTTAAAAAAACAAAGTGCCATAAACATCCCTTATCTCTAACTCTATGATACATTTTCAGAAGAAATATGACAGGTAATGCTGGTTTGAACACTTTTAAGAGACTTAAAGTGGATTAGTCTAATGTGCAGAAGCCTCTTATGCTAACACAAAAGCATCATGTACTCTCATTCTGTTGCAGTCTTGATCCCAGCTCACAACCTTAAGATAAACTTGTGGGAAGGTTTTTGGGTTTGGGTTGGGTTTTCTTTTTCAGGTGACCATATCCTGGATATTCTCTGCTTCCGATCAAACATGGAAACAGAAATTGAACTACCAGAGGTATCTTCAATTGACAACGAAGTTTGACCTGGAGCAGTTCAAGAATACAAAGAATGTAAAGGTATTCTAGAAATCTACATTAGCAGCTTCCTTCATGATGAAAAGGGGCACCCTTGCTGATTTAGGACCTCCTACTGCAATACTTGCAGCAGTAATCTACTAATTTGCAGTGGTGTAGCTCAAGAGCCTTCACCAAGGTTGCAAAGTATTGGGTGGCAAATCATAGCTCAGTGACCTGCTGAGTTCTTTGGAGACAAAGCTACTGTGTGTTGCAGGTTACCCTGATCCACCCACATCACTGTATTTAGGCAACTTGAGAGGTTACTGCAAAGACCAGTGAGCTGTATTTGGTACAGTCTGTGAAGTAAGCCAACTGATGGTTGTTGCACACCCTGAGAGAGAACAAACTTTTACTCATTATCAATGAGAATCTAATGTCTATTTTTTTCTCTTAGTGGGAATTGCAGAGTCTTTGCAAAGACTACTGCTACTCCTGCAAAGTGATGGCTATTTCTGACAGCTGTCAATTATCCCATAGACAGCTGGATACAAGCTTTCCTTCCTACAGAAGGTAAAAGATGTTCACCCACTAACATCTTTTTTATTGGCTACAATCACTTAAATACTTGCTTAGCAACACAGGGAGCACCTGCAGCCCTTTACATCACCCTTTGCAGCTTGGAAGTGCACCTGTGGTTCAGATGCACTGAGGGCAGCTCTCCCCTGGGTCCCCACAGAGAGAAGGCAGGAGTGCTTACGTGTGCCTGGAACTGGTAGAGCTTGTAGCCTTGCTCCAGAAGTTTCTTGCGCAGCTCCACTTTAGACTTGAGGGCCTTCCAGCTGGTCACTAGTGCCTGCTGCTTTGCTCTCAGCTCTTCCACCTGCTTCTTTGAGCAATGGGGCAGCACACGATCTGCAGAGTGGATAAGCTCCTGCAGCTATACACAGCCATGGAAGAAGAGGGTAGGAAACAGAGAGTCATAGAGATCCAGCTAATATCAGAAAAGTTATGGCAAGAGCTGTCTTAATTGTACGTGAAACTACAACGCAAGCAACATTTTCTAACCTTTCTCACACTAAACAAGCGCCCCTCATCTCAGTTCGATGGCGTAACAGTGACATCCAGTGTTTACTAAGGCTCATCACAACGCTGTTTCTTCAAATAGGCAGATTTTGCTTCTCCTTTTTACTCTACCATTTATTACATGAGTAATACAAATAATAACTAACCATACATTGTTTTCCCCAGTGACCATATAGATTAACTGTGATTACATTCTCTTTGTGCTCTTTTACCTTGAAAAGTAAAAAGCAGCTGATGGAATCAGTTCTAGTGTTACCTGACACAAGGCCAAGGTACTGACCACTGGCAAGTGATACTGGGATCACTACTTCAGTAATCCCACTATAACATAAGCTGTAACTATACCATTATATTTACTAAACAAAAGGATGTACAGAAAACTCATACTAGCTTTATTGGTCTAGTTGAAGCTGAGCAAATCTCCCATATACAAGGAAGCTTTCTAAAGAAACAACTTTTCTTGTTAAACTTTTCCCAAGTTTGTATAATGAGCCATATCCTTCTTTCTCCCAACTCAATTCTCACCCCTCTAAGCTTGTTGAAAATTCCACACTACTGCCCCATCCCTCCTTATACAATTCTCTATAGTTAATCAATGGATTTGTGTCCAATGGAAATTCAGTTTCTCTGCACACAGAGAATTTTTCCTTGTAAACAACTGCAACACTTTGAAGAGGGCAGTAAACACATCATAAAGCCTGGCATAATCATACATTTCCAACAGTGATCACAAATATCCTTGTGAATCACTTCAATAGTCAGCACTCATTATATGTCCCTTATTTATAAGGCTTTAAATGACCTACTTTATCATTGCCATTAAACCTTGAACACATTAACAAAGCAGAGAGTAAGAAGATCCTTAGAGATTTCCAGGCTTTCACAGCAAGCCTGTAATAAATTGGTTCACAATATCAAATTATTATTATGATTGTCTTGGAAACACTAATTTTGACCACACATTAATGTTCACAAATGACTTTCATTACCTGCTGCTCATTCCCAGAGAGCTCATGCTCTAGGGCCACGTGGTTCCTTAGCTGGGTTTGCACACCTCTCATGTCCTTAGCAACATCATCTGGAATACTTTTGGACTTTTCCTAGAGGGAAGAAATTAGAGAAAGCTTTGTTAGTTTCTGCTTCCAAGCAAAACACACTACAAGCCTACTTCAGTCATTTTGTGTGCTGCAGCTCATAGTGCACAATTAAAGACATCCTGGATTACTCAACTATGACAGTAAAAGGAAGGTGGAAAAAAAATTTGTCCTAGTACATCTGTCCTAGTATCTCACTTGTAACAACTATCTTAGAGGTAACGCTACTCAACAGGACCGTGAGAGATGAAAGTTCAAGTCTTTCCTTGATCAGACAACAGAGGAGAATGTTCTACAGGATGTGAGCTGGGAATCAATCCTGAATAGCTACTGCAGTGACACACAGAGAATTCTAAAAGTATCACTAACAACCAACAGTTTCAGGCTATTTTTCAGGATGCAGGTGGTCTACCTGTGAACCATCTTTAGATAAAAATTTAGTTACACAGGCTCAGGAGAGTAAACAATGGTATATTTACAAAAAATTTCACTGTAAATGAGAGAAATGGAGAAACCATTGTACAAATGGAGAAACCATTGCACAAATGGAGACATAATAAATGGAGATGGCTAGTGTGTGAAGTGTTTTGGAACTATCACTTGTCACTGCCACAGAGTTAACTACTTCATCACTGAAGTTACATATGCACCAGGTTCTGAAAACCCCAGCTGGTATACAGTGAAATATTATGACATTGTTTTCCATTCATGACAGGGAAAGAAAACAAGAGTAACATAATTGAATAAGGCAGCCTTTGCCAGCCCAGCCAAGTAGAAAATCTACCACACGTAACCTAACAAAGCCCTGTTGACTTGCAAACAGTGGAAGCTCTGTTGGATCACTGCCTCCTGTACACATCTGCATTAGGGAAACCACACCACTCATTACAGCAAGGATGTGGTTTCTCCATAAAAATCTTCAGGATACTCAGATAAAACAGAAGTCCAAAGACTTTCATTGGGACTTCTCCCTTCAGTTTTCACACTGTGACTGTTTGAAATTATTGCCAGTGCTGGGCACTGAAATGAGAAGAAAAGATTTTTGGCCCAGCTTTTCACATCAGGTCACATGATTGCCTGACAGCCTTCCAGGCTAATGGTCACTGTATTCCAGACAAATGCCTTTTCCCAAGATGGTTCTTTCTTCAGCACATGAAGCTACAATAGTGTACAAAGAAGAACCACAGTGAGACAGTAAGCAGTTTGTTAGTCAGGCCTGCTGACTGCGAATGACATTACTATATGCATTGCACTCTGAGGCAACTTAGTCCAAGCCCTGGTCTTCTTGGCTTATGCCACAGAGCAGCAGCTCTAGCTGCACCTGGTTTCACCAATGGTTCTCATAAAGCAAGCAGTCAGACATCTAAAGATTACCCAGGATTATTTTTTTTAACACTTTGAATAATCACAGGTTTCTTACTAAGATTTTTTTTGAAGCCACCAGTAAGCATGCTGAGAATCATAAGAATACTCCACAAATTTAGCTGAAATGAAGCTCTCATTATATGAGTCTCTCATTGTTTTTTTTTTACCTCAATATGGGCCAGAGCATCTGTCAGATCTTGGTAACACTTGTGAATTGCCTCAGCATCTCTCAGCCGCTCCCCTCGCAATCTGGTCATTTCCAACAGCTCCTCCCAGGAGGTCCTACAATGGAGAGTGAGGAAAAGAATCATGCAAGTCATTCAAAGTAGGAGTAAAGGAACAGCACCTCCCCAATATGCTTTTTAGGTTTTATATGCAGCACTTGGAGGACTGAGTCAGCCCCTGCTATTCCTTCATGCCTCTCTTTTGGGCTGGTTTGGACTGATGCCAGATATAAGCAGCTCAGAATATATCAATGTTGTTCTGCAGAGCAGTCATGGGATTCAAACTCAAAAATCAGAAGCAATAAAGAAGCAAATAAACTTCTAGCCTTTCAGTAAGGTGTTCCTGTTTCAAAGGGCAAAGAAAATTCACTCATTCTTTACCTGCAAAGCACCTCTGATAAAAATTACAAGAATCCAAATCAGCAAGGAGATGATGTCTGCATTATGGGAGTTTAAATTGAGGGCATGGCAGCAGCTCTGTATCAATGAGCAAACCACATATTCTGCAGTTGGGGAGCTGGGAGGATGTGCCTTATCCTTTTTTAGTTCCTTCTCATTTCCTCTTTCTCATTGAAAGGACAAAGCATTACAGAGCTAACACAAGTCTCCTACCTTAGCTCTCTCTGCTTCTGCCGAATTTCCCGGGATTCAGAGTGTCCATGGTTCAAAAAAAAGTCTGCCAGCTGCTGGCAGCCCACCAGTCTTTTCTCAGCTGCTTCCAACTGGTGTTGGAACGTGTCATATTTGGCACAAAGTTGCTTTTGAAGGAAAAATGACAACAACAAAAAGGCATTTTGAGTGCTCTCCTTCCCCAAACATACCTGCTCAGCTATCAGAGCACAGCCAAAAGACAGGTGATAAGCTGATCATATCTGGAGATGGAGAAACTGCATAGAGTGATTGGATTTTGCCACCAAAGACCATGAGGAGCTACAAACTATTGGCAAATCATGAGTTTTGTGGTGCAGACGGGAGGCAGTAACATCATTAACAGGGATAGAAACAGACATTCAATGTACAAAGAATTTCAACTATGAAATGATTTTTTTTTACTTCATGAATCCAAATGTGTGTTCAGTCCTATAACTGAATAATGCAGCCCAGTTTTAAGATTTAGGGCACAAGATATTTTGAAATAAATTATAAAAATGAGGATTCTGAATGGCTACCAATGTCTGATGTTAGGTTAGTTTCTGTGCCATGTGAAGAGGTCTAGCTGTCAATGCCCATCCATCAGCATTTGGGATGAAAAAAAATCTTTAATGGACATCACACTGAAATATCTGGTTATTAAAAATAGAAAGGAGTTGGTCTCTGAAGGCACAGACATTTTAGCTTCACACAGCTCAGCCCCTGTGGTAACAAGGTGTAAGCTGTTAGGCCATGGTGCCTGCTTGCCATAACAAGTCAATCCTTCCCATCCACTCTCCACCCTTTTCTCTTCCCATTTCCCAGTTATTTATTCTTACTTCTTCGCTGTCTTCTATGTTCTGAAGGAAAATTTACACTCTTTTTACAGTCTCATTACATATGGTTTGATTGATTTTTGATCTATTACTCAAAAAACTCACTAAGACATGTTCATAATCATTTCCATAGTCTTCAGAGCTGGCTGCTTGTCTCTGCTGAGTGATCCAGTCTTGCAGATCTTCATATTCTCGTAGAAACTCATGCAAGACAAGAGTCTCCTCCAGCTTCTTCCCTCTGTTAGAGTCAGGAGACAAGACAATAAAATCAGACCAAGGGAATATAAGAGGAGAGCAATCAGTAACTTTTATTCCTCAAAACCTCTCACCATCAAGAAGGAGACAAGACAATACAATGAGACCAAGGGAATATAAGAGGAGAACAATCAGTAACTTTCTTCCTATTATTCCTCAAAACCTCTCACCATCAAGACTCATTAATTCTCTTTCATGAAAGAGCTGACTTTATATCTCAAGGAAATCTTTCTAATTGAGGAGCATGCAACCAGGAAGGCAGTTGCTATGAAAGCCATTTTCTGCAATTCTGTTCATTCTGCAACCTGCTGTGTATTTCTGATCACCTAGAGTATCTTATAATACAGACTGACATGTTACAAGCCTTCCACAGTAAACAAAGTATCACTTTTCCATCTGCTCACACTGCCTGGCCATTGTACAAGTCTTTCAGGAGAGATGAACCTGGCTGCCCTGTCTGAATCACAAATGCTCACCACAAGAGATGTAGCAGGCTGAGAGAGCCCAGCCCACCAAGGAGAATGCAGATCAGAGGTACAAACCAGAGCACCAATAAGGCTCTATGAGACCCAGGTTAACATTAAACATGAATGAACACAAAACATTTCTGTGTTCAATGCAAACAATTGGTTTGTTATTTCTAGACTGAGTGCTAATTTTTCTGATCTTTTCCTTCACAGGATTTTCTGTTGAAGGTTCTACTTTTTTAGTTGTTAACAAGAATAAAACCCAACCACTAGGCATAAAGACAAACACTTGAGACTGTAATTGTCTCCCTGTTGCTATGTAATGAAGTCAGTAATTTTTAAGCAACATTAGGGAAGCTTTCTAATACCTACATTTTTCCTTTTCTGGAAAATTCAAAATACCACAAAAAAAAAAAAAGTCATAATCCATCATCTCAAGTGACTTTACAGGAGGATGATGAAAGGAACAGAGGAAATTTTGGGGCTTCAAATCCTTAATATGTAGCAAAACTCCCTGAATAAAATGTAGAGTTCATGAAGAGAAGAGATAATGGACATGATCTGAATTGCAGTGAGCTAACTGGAGATATTCTTTACTGACTCCAGTGGGCTTTGAATCAAACCTAGGATCCAAGTGGTGGTTCTAGTTTATACCTTGCTGCAGCTAGTTCCTGAAGCTCCTGGAGTCTTGAATGAACTTGTTCCTTGGGTGCATCAACCTCAACATACTGGATGGAGCCCACCAGAGGAAGAGTTTGGGCACTTTCACTCAGTTCTTTCATCAAATTTTGATAAATGGTAATCTCATGCTCCAGTGCCTGGCAGAGAAAAGAATGGATTGAGAACCAGTTGTCAAAGATATCCACTGTTTGAACTTTTGCACCACCTTGTGGTGTAGTCATTGAGATATTAAGAGAGAGGAGAAACTTTCTGGAAGCATGTGACATCTCCAAGACTTGGACAAGATTAGCAATTGTTTTTGAAAAGAAGTGTACATAAGTTCAAACAAACTAGGTGAATAAAGACAATTAGAAATTCCTGATGCATTATTAGGTAAAGTACTCCTGCAATAATAGTCCATCTGTATCTTTGGTTCTAGAAAAAGAAGAGGCTTCTGCATGTGTCTGCTGAGAATGAAAAGCAGATATCAGATCATAGTTGGTTTTGACCTCAGAAAAATAAGATGGGAATATTCACCATTCTCCTTTTTCCAACCATATTAAGCTGCATTGATCTCTTCTATCAGTCCATTCACATGTAGACATACATCATTGTAAAATATCTCATAGATGGGTGCACACTTAAGTACCACTGAGACAGAAAATTTTACAGCCACAGGCAGACCAGAAGTTCAGGCCAGCATACAGAATTTAAGGAGAGAAGTACCTTATGTTTCTTGATGAGTTTCAGTGTTCCATCTTCATCCTTACCATAGTCCTTGCTTGTCACAAGTGGATGTTTTTCTGCTACCCAAGCCTCCAGGTCTGAAGTATTCATTAAAAACTATTAAAGAGAAATCAAGTCAGTTTCTACCTCAACTTCCAAGATACATAATTTTTTTGACCTAATGCAATATTTTATTAAATAACAAACAATACTTAATCCCAAGAACTGCTATTTCACACTGTTCCCTCAAGCCATACAGAGGTGAAGGAGGTCACAGATGGAAGACTTCAGTGCAGGATAACTAAGGTCTTCTCCAGGCACCAAAGCTCTGTCAGAAATGTTCAAACTATCTCACTTTTTTCCTTTACATCACTATCTTTAAACGAGTCTTCCTTTTCCTTATTCACTAAGGGTAGGGGCTAACTGTATAATATCAAGAGTGATATTCCTCCTCCCCCTTCTTCAGTTCAAATCACCTACAAAAATTAGGCTTTTTATTCCAGTCTGTATTTGTGCTTACATATTTACATGTTTTTTGGTTTGTTTTGTTTTGTTTTAGACAAGCTAACCATAAAGGTCCAGAATCCTGTTGAAAATAATAGGGCCAAAAATCCTAACTTGCTCTGAGAATGGAAGTGTTAGCAGTATCATTTTGTTGCCTGGAACACTGTTGCCTAGAAGAGGCAAAGGTAAGATGGCACAAGAGATCCCTTCTTTTCTGATTTCCTTGTCATAATTCTCCAGTATGAAGGGTCAGCTCAAGATCCAGTGCATTACTTAAGTCTGAGGCTGTGTAAAGATATTGAGAAAGGAGGTAGCACTAGGAGAAATACGTGTTCTACACACAGCCACAAGAGGAAGGTCACAGAGTCCAAGGCAAATCTCTAGAGCAGCAGCTCTAGCCCCATGTCTACATTCAGCCATCCATTTCCATGAGTCTCGCCTCAAACAATTGCAGTGAGTATCAGTCTCAGCAAAGCTGGTTTGTTATTCACTTTAAAACTTTGGTCCTCTTGGTAGTATAAAGCAGCTACTGTGTAAGCACTTTGGTGTGATTTGTACCTCCTGGAAGCCAACAGAGTGCTGCAGCTGCTTCATCCTTTCCTCACAGGCCTTCTCCAAGCCCTGCCAGGCAGCCACAAGCTCGTGGCATTTCTCACTTATTTTCTGAGCTGATGGGTGCTGGCCTACAACCATTGTCTTTCCTTTGTCCAGGACCCGCTGGACTTGCTGTTTGTGGGCATTCACTTCTGCCTGCAGTTCCTGGGAATGAGATAAAAGGAAAAATAGGAATAAAGGAAGGGTATGAGAGGACAAAGAAGTTCTATGTGCTCCTAATCCTAAGCAAAACTGTCAGCTGGTGATGGTGGGCAGAATATATCCAGTAGAGACAAGGGCTGTGTTTTTCTACAACAGCTGCAGCCTCATCTACAGGTCCCAGTGCCAGTTCCATAATGATCTGCTCTTGTGGTGCCACTGAGGGAGGAGACAAGAATCTATAAAGTGGCAGCAAACATCCCTTAACTTC